TTTTTTTTTTTCAGATGGTTTGCTGGGAATATCCTGGTGATGGTCACATGCCGGTGAGTACTCTGCATCTTTTGTTTTTGTTTACTTTTTAGTGGTTCTTTCAACTTACTTTCGAGTGCAGAGAAGCTTATGTAATTTGTTTTTAAGATATGGATGCCACCTTCACCTCCTGTCTCAGATTCAGAATCTGATTTCTACTGTGATCCTTGTGGAGAAGGCTGGTATGAACAAGAGCCGATGTGTGAATCTCGCCTGCCTTCAACAATTCATGAACTTCATCGTCCACGCCCTATTGCAAACCCTCCTGTCTCTCTCCCACCGCCGACAGTGCCTCCGGCTCCTGCAGTTGAAAATGCTTCTGTTATACCTATGGAGCCGGTGGAGCCGATGCTCTCTTCTACCGCTGTATCTGACGCGGCACCTGCTACAACGAGCAAGGGTAAATTTTTTTCAAAGTGACCTCCATGTAAAGCTAGTTTCAGGTAACTTAAATAAAAAGATGTAGATATCAATGTTTTCAGAAGTTTATCATTTTATTATTCTCTTATTTCATAAGTTTTTTTGGTATTTACGTGAATAATTAGCACCTTTTTTGGACGAATTTGACTTCTGAACTCTACGAGTTTTAGTGAGTACGCCTAGCATAGTCGAGGCAGTAACTCCTCAGAAATCCTCTTTCAATGCTGCCCCAAATTCCGAGAAGGAACGCATAAATGTTGTTCCACAGACTGGTGTTACCACTGGAGCGCCTTATCTAGACACTTCAAATCTCTTACGTCCACCAACACCATCGCATGGTTTGAACTCTGTGGATGGTCAGCATGGAATTAGATGTTTGATTCGGAATAAGCTTTTGAGAATAAAATAGTACTTCTAACGGCAATGCTTTTATGACGTCACAAGATCCCTGATAGGGTTACACGGCTGCTTAACGACTGATTTAGTTTTAAAATTGTTTACTCTTTGCTTTCGGACGTTAAAAGGCCGGGTCGTATTTTTCTATGCTTTTTAATCTTAGCGCCTTCAGTGGGCTTCAATTTAAAATTTTTTCAGATGCTATTGATAGTGTGAGACGGTCTCACAAAGTAGCCACTCCGAGGCATTCGCATCCAAGGTTTGTAAATACAGTTTCTTTTCATAACTTTTGCTCTTTGTTTAATGCAAGTTTTTTATCACAGTTTTGAAATATTTAGATTCTTGTACGTTTAACTTTTAAATTAAGCTCCAAGAACACGTGTACTGAGACCAGGAGCACAAAGAATGAGATGCTTCGGCCGTTTACTCCTCCACCGAGAGTCAATGAAGCTAGCGATTATGAGGGCCCTGAATGGTCTATCATTGAGGATCGTGCCTTACTTATGGTATGTACCCTATTTTTCACAGTCGTTACTTTCAGTCCTGAATTGTTTTTCTATTTAAAGTCTAAAGGGTAAATTTGGTTAAAATGTTAGTTTTTTCCAATTCTATCGTTATTCTTGTTATTAGTTGGGATTATTTTGAAGTAACACACCTACATTTATGGTCATATTTTATTTCATCTGTATTTTTAGGCAGTGACTATTGATCAGAGGTTGCCGTACCATTTGCATTCGTCGAAATCCGGTCACATGACTAATTGGGAATACATCTCTGCTATTTTAATGCGAGTTTCTG